GAAGTATTTTCGCAGGTATGGGATGCAACCCTAAAAGGAAGAACGGATTCCTGGCTGAATGGTTCCAGCCATATGGACCTGCAGATTACGCAGATCTTTGCTGAAGATAGTTGCATATTTGTCAGTGCATACTCATAGGAAGAGATGCCAGAGTTGCTGCTTCCATGGCTGTAAAAACCAGGCAGGAGAAAAACAAATATGTTTATTGCTACTATCACTACGAGAAAGCAATACTACAATGTTCCACATACAGTAATAACTTCAGGCAGGAGGAGCGACAATGAACTATCATCAGCTATGTGAAACCTACAAGCAAAATCTGTCTGATGTTTGAACTGTAAGGTTTGAACCTATCAGACCTATGTAAACAATTCTGCAACATTCTATCTACAGTTCTGAATTCAAGCATGGAGAAGATAGAGATAGTGAACAGTCCTCTCCCATGCGACACCTACAAAGAACTTCGTCAGATGCACCTTTACTCTTGAATTTTAAGTTCCAAAACCACCTAACGGTTGAAACATACACAGGAGTAAATAAAATACCAAGTAAATATGTCTGGACATTGCAGTGCAACTTTCATAATTTCTCTTCTCCATCCTAATCTGCCCATTTTTTTTAATCAGCTCCAGGGATCAACATTTGTAAAAACTCATTTGTAAGCCAAGAGGCAATTCAACCAACCCAAGCTTTACATAAAAGGACAATCCAGAAACAGCCATTTGGTATCATTAGTGCAGAACTTCAAACTCACCATTGGGAAAGATATAAAGATTGATCATATTTGGGGAAAGCATAGTGAATTGAGAAATAGTTATGATATTTTTGGAATAGTAAATCAATTGTATCTAAAAAAGCCAAAACTCCTTATAATTTGGAATGGATGGAGTAGATAATCAGATTTGCAAATGGGCAGAAACAGCCAATGCATCCTAAAGTAATGACACTGCCAGCCAAACTAGCAGACATGTTCAATGAGCAGCCATAGCTAACTAGTATGCCTGGCCGAGCACCCATTGGCCATTACAGTCCAAGAGTCATTGTTATCAAGACTAGAAGGGTTATCCGGTCTCCCTAACAGCATGCCACCTATAGGAGTTTGGAAAGAGCCCATGCTTGTATACAAGAATAGGAAGATGCCCACGTTAAACGAGAACAGGCGCAGCGGAGCCTCGTCAAAGAGCGCTGGCACAAGTGCCTCACCTTAGTATATCTGGATACTCACCCGTGCATTCTTATTAAAAAAAAAACACTTCACCAAAGGATTTCTGGCATGCTGCAAGATGTGCAACGAGTAAAAACACTTCGAGAACTATTGGAGCAACTTTCCATTCAAAGACCACAAAGGCATGCAGGCAGTGAAAAGAAATGACAGCTTAGGCAGGATCGCAATATAGATTATGTCAATATCCTGGTTGCCTAAAAAAAACACTAGCAATAAGCAAAACAGAAATGGTAAGGATCGCACATTTGTCACAGGCTACCTTAGATATTCCATAACATTCACGACAAAATACCCAGAATACACCCATGCTTGATAAAGTTTGAAATGGGTTCACAGGAAACATATTACTAATTCTGGCTTTGACAACACTCATCGAATTGCTGATCCAACTCAGAACCAAAAACTGTAACATGCCATCCACCGAACGAGACTAAGTCATGGATGCCTTCTTCAGCTTGGCAAGCTCTTGCCTGATAGCACCACCCCTCTGTTTACATATAGAAAAAAAAAGTGAGCAAGCAATATACAGTGCCAACAGGAACTAGACATTTGACAGAGAGGTTCCTGACCTTGATCTTTGCCAGCATGACCTTGAACCTGTCAAAGTCATTGAGCGCTGCCCTCCTCTTCTGGACAATCAGCTTCTTGCCCCATGAGCTGTTCTCCCACTTGGTCTTCACATCTGAAAAAGAATAACAAGAGATCAATTAAGTGTCACTATTCTCTTCAGGACAATAATCTAGAATCTAGAAGATGAATAAATCACAACGATGCTGAAGAGGTCCACAGCATATGCTTCATCATTACCAGCTTCCTCCATCGCCTTGATCAGGGTTGTCTTCTTGGGGACACGTTTGATGTCAATCTTGATGTCGGTAAGTGAGAGGCGCTTGAAGTTCATCTGGCATCTGACCATATCAGGGGCGTCCACAAGTGCCTGGTCCACAGAATGCATCAAGGCTATGAGGGGTTGAATGCTTGACCAAATCAATTATATATAGTTATAAATAGTGTACATTTGTTGCGTCTTAAAAGGAATCTAAACAAGGGAATTGGTCCTTGGTTCATTCAGGGAACAAGTTTGCCAAGCAACCCTTAGCCTCCTGGCAATGCCAAATGCTAAGGCACTAACTCCTCCATTTGTCTTAAGAGTAGGTATGGTTAACCGCTAGATGAGGACATGAGGCCACCCTACTTGGCCAATTCAAATAAATTGCATCAGGTGCTACCAAATACAGCCATATATGTTTTCATATTTCCCACGAAGATCAGCAGATATAAACCAATTACTATCAGTGGTACAAAAGCACACTCCCCTAAAGCTCTAGATCGACATCACAACAGCGAACGGAAGGACAAGCATTTAGGAGAGAGCTCAGTCCTTACCCTGTTCTGGTCGACCACATCGACGATGACGACGAGGCGGCCATAGTCCTTGCCGTAGTTCACCAGGGCCACGCGCCCGATCTCCACGAACCTCTTGAACGGCTGCACACATAGCACAAGCACACAAAACCCCAGGTCAAACCCCGAACAACTCATAACCCCTACCAGAACTACACCACTAAGCGCGATCGACGTACCATCCTCGCGGCGGTCGGAGAGGCGAGCGGCGGCGGCGCTGTGAAGCGGCTGGAGCGAGAGGGCGAAGCGCGGCGGAAGTCCAAACAGAAACTAGGGGTTCGGCGGTGGGAGTGGCCTATAAAGCGTCGCGCGAGTTCGGTAGCGCCGTTGGATCAGGAGAAGCGACACCCTGGCCGTCCGATCCAGGTCAGCGAACTAAGAAGTCTGCTGGGCCTTTGGGCCTTGTTTGGAAGCCCAAATTCCCGTGAATGTCCCGGCCTTCCCCCCTAGCAGAAGCCCACGTGGAACTCGGCCGCGGACCAGATTTCCCCTGCATCTGGAAGCCCATGCGGGGGTAGCTCGACCTGTGAGTCCTGTCTTTTCCCATAGGCGGCTCGGGACCGGAATATTTAAATATTTGCCATTATTATTGCATCAAAAAAATATTTCCCATTATTGGGCGACGACTCTTCAAATGTTAATTAATTTTAAAATACTGTAACTCGAGAGAAGTATATTCTTACCATTTTTATGCTGTGAGCATTCGAAATGACACTTTTGCCCCTCCTCCCTTTTTATATGCACAACCGACGGGCTGTAAGCAAAAATATATTATGCCAAAAAAAAAAGAATAGAGATCAGAAGTTGTATGTTTAGACTTTAGAGCTTGTTTGGACGAGTGAATCTTTTCTGTTTCTCGTGGGAATGACAAGAACGGTGCCAAACACACATAGAGCCAAACGATTTATCTTTGAAACTGTTCTCCTTTTCTTCCGTGGCGCTCGAAATGGTTTCGCACCGATTCTCGTATTGGAAGTATTTTACTACTTCACCACAAACATCTGGTTAAATGATCTGCTGTGATCTGCTGTGCCAAGACATGGGATGCAACCCTAGAAGGAAGACAGGATTCCTGGCTGAATGGCTGAATGGTTCCAGCCATATGAACCTGCGGATTATGCATGTCTTTGCTGAAGATAGTTGCATATCTGTCGGTCCATGCCTCCATGGGCATGGCTATACAAACAAGGCAGGAGGAAACGATACTACAATGTTCCGCGTACAGTAATAACTTCAGGAAGGAGGAGAGATAATGAACTATCATTCGCTATGTAAAGACTGCAAGCAAAATCTATCTGATGTTTGAACTGTAAAGTTTGAACCCATCAGATCTGTCTAAATAATTCTGCAATATTCTATCTACAGTTTGAACTCAAGCACTGAGAGAATAGAGATAGTGAACAATCATCGCCTATGTGACACCTACAAGTGGAATTTGTCTGATGTACCTTTACTCTCAAATTCTGAGTTCTAAAACCACCTAATGGCTGAACACATACACAGGAGTCAACATAAAAGTAAATATGTTTCGACATTGTAGTGTGCCTTTCATAATAACTTCTATTCTCCATCCTAATCTCGCCATTTGGTTAATCAGCTCCAGAGATCAACATTTTCTTCATTGCAGCCTGCATACAACAGTTGAGCACCTTATATGTTAGCAACCATGCGGCCATCTAGTAGGCCCAACATGAGGGTATTACAACAAATTGACTATCATTAATTACATGAGTCAACGATAAGCATTAAAAAATGCTGCATTTTTCACTAACTTGTATTTGGGTTCTTTTTTGTGCAAAAACCACCAAGGCCCTGCTCTCCATCCCAATCTGTAAAGGAGGACACATGTCACAATTGAATAATGCAAATTTTGTAGCAAAGCATCTGATAGTTTGATCACTGGTTATGATCAACTGGGCCCAATATCTATTGCATCAATGCAGGACGCACAGAAGATGGTCAATCTACGAAAAATAGTATTCTTAGGATGATCTGAATTTCATGTTTGTAGCTGTTTAAACGGTTCATGGGGACCTTCTGTACATGAAAGATGTCCCCACCCCCCACCCCACCCCACCCCCCACCAAGCTATTGAGACATATATTTAAATACCTATAAAAAATTCAATAGCATACCTAAAAAAATATTATTTCACTCTTTTTTGTTGATAAATATTGTGAGTACTAAATACATATGTAATAACGTTGAAAAGCTATTGAGACATATATTTGTTGTACATATTTATCATGTTTACAAGGTGTCCTCGTATTGTCCGGCTCCCCTCGATCAAAAGTTCTGGTTCCGCCACCGAAGAGGGTATCTTCTACTGAGGACATTCAAAACATGTATCAAAAAGTCAATGGGACAAATGTTACCTCATAGATCCAGCAGTCACACGCAAACTCATGAAAAGAGCCAGGCCAGCCCAAACACCAGGAAGCCCGAAAAATTGTGGAGCATACAGCAAAAACAAAGAGGATATTGCCCCAACTACCATCTGAGGATCCAAGGGATATTAATAAATCACTGCAGAAAGGAAAGGAAACACTGCAAAAAGAAAATGCAGTAGTAGTTGCATGATCAGAATAGCATAAGTTACTTTATGCGCATACCATGAAGGAAGCTGAGTACGAGAAGTCTGAGACACCAAAATGGAGTCCATCAAAGATAAAAGCGAGGGCATTGATAGGCTGGCTAGCACTAACAAACTTCAAAAACACAAAAGTTAGCAATGAGCAAAGATAGTGTTGACAGGGACCAGATAGTATCATAAAAAAGGTACATACCAAAACACCACCCCTCACAATTTGTATAACCATGGGATCTTTGGAGAATATTTCTGCAAGTCTACCAAAAGAGGCAAACAGAAGAAGTGCTAAGCGATACCAACGAACACTCCTGCCTACCAAATAAAACACGTTTGAAAGCTGCTTCATGACATGCTACATGATGAATGTTATTTATACTAGTCTCATATACAAATTAGCAGTAAAATAACTTAGTTAAGGCTGCAACCTTTAATACATAGAACGTGACCTCCTCCACTTTTTCGTAGTCAAGTTTAGCAAATGAACTTGCAATCAGTGCCTGAAATCAAGTACACAACAAATAAATTCAGAGCACTCGGTCCCTGTTCAAGAGGTACATATATCGTACATAAGCTCAAGAAATAATGAGCAGACAAGGAGGCAATTCGGCCATCACAAGCTGTTACCATTGGGAAAGATAGATTGCTCAAGTCCAGGGAAAACATAGTGAATTGAGAAATAATTGCGATATTTTTGGAAATAGGCAGTGTTAACAAAATATATAAATAATAAGAGATTCACCTGGGCAGAAACAGCCAATGCATCCGAAAGTAATGATACTGCCAGCCAAACTTGCAGACATATTTGATGAGCGGCCATAGCTACTGTGCCTTGCCGAGCAGCCATTGCAGTCCCAAGAGTCATTGTTATCAGAACTGAAAGGGTTCTTCCTAACAGCATGCCACCTATAGAGTTTGAAAAGAGCTCATGCTTGTATTCAAGGGGAAACTATATTAGTAGAGTAAGCTATTCAGGTAACCCACAACACTAGAGCTGCAAATAAATGTTCACGATTTTGAAGGCATTTCAGTGAATGTACGAATGAGCCTAAGAAGCTGTTAACTACTCTGCACATCTAAGTAGTAAGTACGAATGAACAAGATGCTCAAGAACTGTGGTATATATGTGAATGAAAGGAATGACTTGAAAGTGTGATAACTTGGATAACATAGTGCAAGCAATAATTTACAACTCACCAGATTTTATGTACCCAACAAACTCTAGGTCTTTGATTTTCGGTGGTAACAGAACTGCTCTCTTGCTTAAAGACCAAAGAAGTAGAAACATACCAACATATCTGAATAATTCAAGTTAAGAGCATTACTAAGAGTATTATAAATGATAAGTCAGACATACTATGAAATCTAGTTCATGTGATTTGTGTGAATGTCAATTGAATGCAATACCAGACATACTGTGAAGCAATAGTTGCAAGTGCAGCTCCAGTCAATCCAAGTTTCAGGGAATACACGAAAAAAGGAAGCAGAACCACAGCTGAGATGTTGCCCAAACCTGAAGACGAATTTCAAATTCAGCAACTATGCACAATACGCTGACAAATCAAAGGACAAGAAGACAAACAGCACTCTGTCAGCATTCCACAGAATTTTGAGATTGTGTAAGCTTTCATTGAAGCAACTCAGGCCATTTCTGAATCAAGTAAAGCATAGATTGTACGTGGCTCTCGAAAATGAAATGCATTGCTTATGATTCAGGGCATCGTTGCCATCTAGGATCCATGCCAGTGAAGTGACAATGAAACCAACCTAGAAGATACGAGGTGTCATGACTTACCACTGTAAAGTAGAGGTGTTTTTGTATCTTTCAGTCCACGAAACACACCTTGGATAGCCAATGAAACAACAACAGCAGGAGCACCAAGTGCTCTTACAGAAAGAAATAGCCTTGCTGGATTGTGCATAGCTGATGCCTGCCAAAGAAAACGAAGGCTGCATCAAGGCTCTAGTGACATGAAGTGTGGTATTTGATGCAATGAATTTTCTTACCAAATATACTAGTTTTTGCAGCCACAGGGAAATGAGTGATATCAGAGGTGTTAAAGACAATGATTTCTGGTCCTACTTGTCATTAGGTTGAAAAGTTATTAAAATCAATAATAAAATCTGAAACATATCCAAGTATTAATCATTTTATCATTGCACAGCTGGTGCCAAGGGTTTGACGTCCCTGGAAAGTAGAGGCTAGATATTCATAGGCAGTGGCAGTGGTTGTTTTTACTTTGACCACTAGCATGAATGTAAAAGCGAAAACCTAACAGTTTGTAACACGCATCCCTCTTCTTAATGCAATGACATACAGTTATCTTGCATGTTTGGGAAAAAAAGATTAATCATTTCCGAACATAAGGATTTATACTTATATTCTTTTACTATAAAAAATGTTTCCTGATAAGTGATAACACAGGGACAAAGGGTGTCAAACTTAATTATTCCTTCTTCTGAATGCCCATTTTTGTAGCATACTAGCATTAATACAAAGATATGAGATTTGAACATACATGTGAGACACCCATAATATTGAGGAGTATTCCAGACCCCAAAATCAAAGCCAAGGCTTCAATGACACCAATTGCAGCTGCCAAGACTAAAGCAGAAGAAATTGAAGGAAGCCTCTTCCTTTCTCCAATCTTGCCAGATATGTTTCCTTGTGCGTATCAGCACAGAAAGTTAGCTTGCGAATTCTAAAATGAGGCATGTTTCGTAAGCACAAAAGAATCAGTAATCATCTGTACCCGAAGCAGACTGTGAAGAGTCATGTTTTGACACATCTTCAGCCACAAATGATGTCGTGATACTTAGGAGGGGTATGTTGAAGAGCTTTGATATAATGTTGAATACTGACATACCAACGGCAGCTGAAGCCAGCTCCACAGGACCTGCCAGATTTATAGAGGTCAGAGTGTCAGACTTCAGACAAACCACAACAAAAGTAGAAAATTTCAGCGCTACTTTTCAGCGAACGAACAGTTTTTTTTTTCTCACAATATTTCAGCATGAGCATCAGCATAAGCCAAATTTCAGCGAAACGAACAGGGCATCTTCATGATATACTAATCAGAGTAATCACTAAATTGAAGCATCGTATTATGAAGTGAATGAATGACCCAACTGAAGAGAATCAATACACTTGTGTCCAACTGATGCCGAACAGCGGAAGGGAAATTTACCTAAGCGGCCAACATATGCGGTTTCCAGTAACTGCGCCACAGGATCGATTGCTTGCCCAACTATGGCCGGTACAGCCAGGTTCATGAGCTCCTTCCTAATTCCTCCAGAGTGATCCCGAACTGAATAGCTGAGGACGCAATCAACACGCACAAAAAAAAGCAGGTGTGTCACTCCAAGAGTCACCGCGCTAGAGGCGAAACACAAATTAACAGCCCTGCTGTAGAATCGACAAGGTCAAGGACTCACCGCGCAGGAGTCGCGCCCTTCGCGCCATCCAACGATGAGGCGCGCGCAGCGGGTGATCGATCACCCTCGGCGTCCTCGCCGCGGAAACCCACACGGCCGCCGCCGTCGCCGGTTGAGCGAACGACGACGCGCCCGTGAAGCAGGTGGCCTCCTCCCGCCGCGGAGACCGACCGTCTCGTGGCGGCGGGAGCCAGCGAGAGCCCCGGCGCGGTCGCGCGGTGGGCCCAACCGATGCCGGTCGCTCCGCCGCCCACCCTAACCCAGCGGTTGCGGCCGGGGACGGGGCCGGCGGGTAGCTGGCGCAGGCGCAAGCGCTGTGCCACCCCAGCGCCGGCGTCGAACTCCATCGGGGCTCTGTCTCAAGTGACCGCGGCGTCGGATAAGCTCGCAGAGCGATCGAACGAGCGAGGGGGTGGCGGGGTGGTGTTGCGAAGAGGAAGAGACAGCGCGCGCGTCGCTGCCGTTTTGGCTCCTACGATGCCGAGGCGGGGGGAACACGGGAAAGGTGGAGGCGGAGAGGCGGCGGTTTTTTGGTGGAGGCCCGCCCGCGCGCCCGGGGGTTTTGACCGTGCGCGACGCACGCGCTGGGCTGGCTGCCTCGGCCTGAGCGCGCGCATAGCACCAGTGAGGCCGGAGCAAGCAGGGGCGGGTCAGGGGGCACGCGGCCGCGGCGTGTGCTTCTTTTTTTCCCCTCGCGTTTTGGTTTCAGTTCAGCCTGCTTCCAGGCTTCCAGCCGGAGCCGAGCCTGCGTTGCGCGCCGCTCGTGTGCGGTCACGCCCGGCGGCTGATTGCTCCAAACGAAACGAGCTGCAACACCGACTGCTGCGTTGTGAAAATTGCTGCTCATCATCTTCTTCTGTATTTTTTATACCATTGATCAGCAGTTGTGTCTCGTTATCGTCAGAATGATATATGCATGTGTATTAAAGCTGTATATCACTTCATTATATTGACATTCAAATCATATTAAGATGATCAACAAAGAGTCAATGGTAAAAAAAAAATCGAGAACCAGATGAGTGTAACTCAGCTAGTTTAGTTTCTTGCGGTGAAACCTATTCAGTCGTTTTAAGTACTCGAATTTATATATGCAGTTCCGTATTTCTCTAGATTTATTTTAAAATTTAATGATATTATTATTTTCGTTGTAAAGAATATGCTTGTTGAAAGCGAGACGTCTACGATGATTTCATTAATTTTTAAGTTTGCTGACTTGGGTGTCAAATACGGATTTGAAACATCAAGTGAGCATTTCTATGTAGGTCTCGGGGGCCTAGGGCCTTGCCCGAGCTCCGGCCGTTCAAACCAGTGGACCATGATCGCGACACCGTGTTGCCAATGGCACATAGGTCCACCACCAGCGTCGTGCTACGGTTTAGTCTTTCGAGACTCGGTTCAGGGTCTCTTTGATTTCAGGGCTAAAAATTAGCTCATCTTGTGAAAATGGATTAAACACAAGCTAATTATAGGCTAATCAAGGTGTCGGTGTTTCAAACAAACACCGACTAATAAATTTATAATTGTTGCGCGTTAGGCTCGGATGTTGTACTAAAGGACACAAGGTTTATACTAGTTCGGACAGAATGTTCATACGTCCAGTTTGCTGCTGCTCGTGTTATTAGTACCGAAAAAGGTTCATAGTAGGGGACACAAACGGTTAAAATAGGGATGGGTACCAAGTCTCTGATGCAAAGGTCGAAAGGACGCCAAGAGCTCGATTGCTGCTTGGCTGTGTCTTGTGTGTCAAGAATGATCGGTCCCCTTAGTGGGGTGCCCTGCCCTCCCTTTTATAGACCAAGGGGGAGCAGGGGTTACAGGCGGGAGAAAGAGGAAAAAACCAAAGGTAGAGAAGGTCCTTTGAGAGAGCCGGGTCTTTCTTTTCCCCTATGCCTACCCTGCTAATATGGCAGACCGTGTCAGGAATGGCGTGTTCGTTGATCCTCATAGGGCCGTGCCCTGGCCTCTTTCAGCAAGTGGGTGCGTCCCATCCTACACCGGCGGACGGTGCGGCGTGCCAGAGAGCCGAGCTATGACCCTTCGGGGAGTAGGCGGGGAAGTGACCATACGTCTGTCACTGTGGATGATATGAGCTCTGTCTTGGATCGTAGTGGTTGTCGTATGCTCGTGTTAGTATCCGCGTCCGAGGGTTGATGGCGACGCCTACAACACTGTGGGACAAAGATCGGCGCCTACAACACTGCTCGGGCTCTGTCAGGTTGGAAAGGGCCTAAAGCGCCCGTCCCATCGTATCCTAACAGTACCTTCCTGCAGGCATACAGGGCATGGTCCTCGGTACTGTGGTTGACTCGAACGTCTTGTCGTACCATGTGCTCGTATTTATGAAGGAACAAGGTGTAGCCGTTGGGCGAGGCGGAGCCTGCCCTCAGACGTCGGGCGAGACGAAGCCTGTCCTCAGCCGTCGGGCGAGGCAGAGCCTGCCCTCAGACATCAGGCGAGGCGGAGCCAGCCCTCAGCCGTCGGGCGAGGCGGAGCTAGCCCTCAGACGTCGGGTGAGGCGGAGCTAGCCCTCACACGTCGGGCGAGGCAGAGCCAGCCCTCAGGCGTTGGGCGAGACAAAGCCTGTCCTTAGCCGTTGGACGAGGCGGGGCCTGCCCTTAGCCGTTGGGCGAGGCGGAGCCAGCCCTCAGCCGTCGGACGAAGCACCACAGTCCTTGGACGCCCCGGCGGAGGCACCACAGTCGCCGACGTGGTGCTCGACGTTGCAGATGACGGCGCCCTCGAGGATCCCGCGAAGCGGTAGGACGTTGCCGATGGAGAGCGTGGCGCGACGACCGTAGTAGTACTCATAGTAGAACTGGTCAAAAGCTATAATCGAATAAGTTTGTGGGGGAGCCCCCGAGTGAACAGTTTTTGTATTTATGAATACATCAGTACTTTTCGTGATGAAATTACTTTGTAAGCGATGAATTTGTGCGAAAAATGAATAAGTTTTCAACTTTCGTTACGGCAAACAGCTTTTTGGCTTTTCTCCCTCTTTTTGTAAAAGAGGTTTGGTGCCTTCCGACCCTTCTCATAGTTAAGGTAGCAAAAAAACTCAGGGTGCGGGAGAGCCAACTCTGATCACGCTGGTGAGCAAGGAGGTCGTAGCCGCTGGGGCGTGGGTTTCCCGTAGTCCTACCAGTTGTACTCAGATTTTGTTCCTGAAATTCTAGCCTTTAGGACGTACCATGAGAAAAGAGGAAAAACACAGAGAATGTTTGTAAGATAACAAAGAGAGTGTTTGTAAGGTAAACGTACTTATATCAGCCCCCGAGTGAGGTCCGGCCCTTCGCACTTTGCAGGGGTCGGATGTCACTAAAGATTGGGGATTTTTTAAGACAAAAACTGATAAGAAAATGTATGCGTTTATTTAAGAATAAAAATGACGTAGCTGCTCAATGTTTCAGGTGTTGGTGAAGACCTTTCCGTCGATGGTTTTTAACTTGTAGGCGCCTGGTCGGAGTACCTCCGCGATGACGTATGGTCCCTCCCACGACGGGGAGAGCTTGTGACGGTCCTTGTTGCTCTGCACGAGGTGGAGAACCAAGTCCCCGACGTTGAAGGCTCGGTCCCGCACCCGTCGGCTATGGTACCGACGCAACGTCTGCTCGTACATGGCCGAACGGAGGAGGGCGATGTCACGAGCTTCGTCTAGCTGGTCCATGGCGTCTTCGTGGGATGCCTCAGCTCCCTATTCGTCGTATGCTCTGATTCTTGGCGCTCCATAGTCGAGGTCCTTTGGGAGGATAGCCTCAGAACCGTAGACCATGAAGAAAGCGCGTGTAGCCGGTGGCCCGGCTGGGAGTCGTCCTTAGGCTCCAGAGCACCGCAGGGAGCTCGACGACCCAGCGCACGCTGAACTTGTTCAGCCGGTTGAAGATCCTAGGTTTGAGGCCCTATAGGAGCATGCCGTTTGCGCGCTCGACCTGCCCGTTCGTCCGGGGGTGCGCGACGACGGCCCAATCGACCCGGATGTGTTGTTCATCGCAGAATCGAATGAATTTCTTACCGGTGAACTGTGTGCCGTTGTCCGTGATGATGGAGTTTGGTACTCCAAAACGATGGATGATGTTGAGAAAGAACAACATGGCTTACTCAGACTTGATTACGGGGATCGGCCGAGGTTCGACCCATTTTTGTGAACTTGTCTATGGTGACAAGCAAATGGGTGTAGCCCCGGGCACCTTCTTGAGAGGCCCAACCAGATCAAGCCCCCAGACCACGAAGGGCCACGTGATGGGGATCATCTGGAGTGCCTGGGCCGGGAGGTGAGTTTGCCGAGCATAGTACTAGCACCCTTCGTAGGTGCGTACGATCTACTCGGCGTCAGCTACTGCAGTGGGCCAGTAGAAGCCCTGTAGGAATGCGTTTCCGATCAAGGTTCTAGGCGCGGTGTGGTGACCACAGACCCCATCATGGATATCGCTCAGCAGAAGCTTCCCCTGCTCGACGGGGATACAGAGCTGCAGGATCCCGGTGTGGCTCCATTTGTAGAGTTCGTCTTCTACAAGAATGAAGGACTTAGCGTGACGTGCGAGCCGTCGAGCTTCCGTCTTGTCCGTCGACAGTGTGTCACGAATGAGGTAGTCGAGGTAGAGTGTTCTCCAATCGTCCAGAGGGTCGGGCCCTATCGCTGGTTCCTCTTCAAGATCCATGACCTCGGGGCCAGAGGGAGCCGTCGGTTGGTTAGCCCTCGGGGCTAGATCAGACGGGCCATCGTTGGCCCGTTCCGACCCTTCGTAGCATACCGAGGGCTTATGTTGGTCGCTGGCCAAGACCGCCGTTGGCACCGGCTCTCGACCGGACGCCACTTTTGCAAGTGCGTCGGCCGCCTCGTTGAGGCGCCTTGGTGGACTGATGCATCCCTGGCGGGACGCACCGAGGGTGTACGCTGGCTGGTGTCGAGCTCGCGTCGTCGGGACAACGAGCTTTCCGGCTACTGTGCCGCCGCACGCTCGAGCAGCGTGCGTATTTCGCGGTGGGCCGACGATCCTCGGGCGTTGTGGCCTCTGGAAGGCCATGAAGCAAGGCCGTTGCGGCTGTGATGTTCTGGCTTGCCCGAACGAAGTGAGGAAGGGTCTTATCATCGGCGATGATCCTTCGGTTTACGTCACGGGCCACGACGCGTGCGCGCCCACCGTTTCTACGGCGTTCGATCTCCTGATTGACCTCCGCGTACTCCCGAACAAGCTGTTGTCCGGCTTCATCTATCTCCCGCTTTTGGGCTCTCAGCTGCTCCACCCCTACGTGAGGTGGGGCCGCTGTCCCCCCTTCGGTTCCGCCGCCAAGGTTGCCTGTCGGAGTAGTCTCCTCCGTGGAGACGCTTTCGATGTGTCCCTCGGCGGTT